TATACGTCACTAATAAGTGTATTCGTATTTGTCACTCCAGATTCGGAACAAAATTCCTCAAATGCTTTTTTTTTCTATTTGGTGAATTTGTGATATATATCAGTGCATCTCTAATTCTTTGAATTTCATTCTTAATATGTTTCAAACCATCTTGTACTATTATTTTAAAAATATATCAAATATGAAACAAATAACCACCGAAATCGGATTGCAGTATTCTGCATAATTTATCGATAACTACCATATTAACACTAGCGTTGTTGAATGTGAATGAGCGAATTTTACTCTCGCAATGATATTCTCCAATAATGTTCATAATAGCGTTAAATATGTTGTTAGAGTTATGAGGGAACTAAATAATTTTAAAAACAACAATTTTTTTATGCATACACCAAAGTGGGTTTATATAGTGTGCAATTGCAGCTATATAACCTCTTTTATTAATCAATTCTTATATATCTGAAGTTAAATATATAACACCCCTATATTTTTCTAAATCGACAATCAATAGTTTTTTTGTATGAAGAAAATATTCCATTGTATTTGAATGAAGAGTGTTTCGACTTATCCCAACGTATCTCGGTTGAAAATATTCTTTCACGTACGAGACGAAATGTTGGTTGTCCACTATTGTTAGAGGCAACTCAGCAACAGTAACAAACTTCAATATTCCTGTTCAAGCGTTCTTCTCCAAATACATTTACGTAGAAAGTGGCGTAGTAGTAAAATCGGTGTATGGACTACCAAATTGCAGTTGCGTTAAACCGACAGGAAGAAGCCCGTGTTTGGTTTACATGTTTTATAGTGACGGTTGATGTGAGTGGTTCCAATACCTTTTTGTCATGCCAATCGTTGTTGACAGTATTTACATACTACTTTAGATTTTGCAACTCCATCGACAACACGGGCTGTTCGAATCAATTTAAAATGATCCCAATATTTTGCCTTTTTTCTCATTTCTCTTCCCTGTTGCATCGGGAATATCTAATTCAGGTTCATCCTCCCGTTCCGCCTCGAAAACATCAATATCATCCAAATCAATTGGATTACTACTTCCATAAGTATCGAAATTCGGAATATTTTCGGGAATAAGAATTTCGTTTATAGCGGAAAATTCATTCTGGAATTGACTTTGCGGCTTGATAGGTGATTCGCCTCCGATACCGAACAAACCTTCAACAAATGAGCGGGATCCATTTGTGAATTTATATAAAATGTATAGTAAGTAACAAAAAAAGAATTGAAAGAAAGTTGACGTTTAAGATTGTAATTGAAAATTTGTAGCGTGATAATTGATATTGAATAATTGAAATTGAATGTAGACTATGTATTAGTCTAGAAGATAGATTGTAAAATCAAGATTATAATTTATAATGTAAAATGTAGAAGAGATAGAGACTAGTGAGTGAGAATTAGGTGCAAAAAAATGCGATGTAGTATTTATAGGCAAAAAAAAGAAGGAAAAAAAATTCAGTGACCGTTTGCCAAACGGTCACTGAACTTCAACAGTGACCGAAACGGTCACTAAACTTTTGTCAGTGACCGTTTCTATCACTGATTTCAAATTGGTGAGCCGCGAGCTGGATCGCCAATTTACGAGCCACGAGCCGCTCTTTTTTTGACGAGCCAACCCGCTCGGGCTCGGATCGGTTCATGAGCCGTATTTTGACCGCTACCCACCCTTTCATCTTCTTCCTAAAAGAAGAAATCAACACCAGAACTTTATGCAAATAGGCTCTTCCCCACCCAGAAATTCTGCAAATTAACACCAGAAATTTCTCCCACACACCAGAATCCATACCCATTTTCAGCACGAACTTTTTTTCTTCAGTTTCATAGCAATTTGAGGGAGATTTTGGGAGTTATTCCTGGTTGTAAAGGACAAGGCAAATAAGGCTGTTAATGGAGTTAAAGAGAAGGCTATTAATGGCATTAAGGAGGTGCACTACGTGGGCAAGAGGAAGAACACGAGCTTTGTACTTTAATCCGTCACCAGCATATCAGCTAAATATGGCGACAGTTCCTAATAGCGGCAGTGGCAGTGGTAGTGTGCAGAGTGATAGATATTCTTCTTCCGTTATTGATGAGAATCAAATCGATACAAAGATGAGTTAATTGCCCCATCACTAAATTTATGGTATCTTGGATTGCTCGTTAAGTTTAAGATGTCGATTTTTGACAATAAAACTTATCCAAACGTTGGATGTTACTCACTTGTATAACGTTCGTTTCAAATTGTTAACGGAATTAGAGATGTAACTAATGGAATGTACATGCGGCACCTCGTTACGCCATTAACAAATTATCACGTTTTCGATTGCTCACTAAACTTTGAAAAACGTATTCGATTACTAGCTAAATTTTGAAAAACGTCTTCAATTACTCATTGAAGTTTGAGGCGGTCGAATTTTAGCCACTAAAATTATAAAAATGACGTTGACATATTATTCGTTAAAAAATGTGTTTCGTTAGCTCACAAGTCGCATAAAAATAATAAAGTGGACAAATGAGTTCGAGTTGTCGATCACACGGAAAATAATTACTCAGTTATACAATAGTTAAATTTAATTTAACATATTTTTATAGAATTTTAAGCTATTTTTATCAATTGAAGTTTAGTCAAATTTATTGTATGTTTCCTTGTTAAAATAAAATTAAATTGAAGTTTGAATTTTGCGACGAAATACACGGTAAATTAAATTAAAATTTGGATTTTTGTAACGAATCACACAATCCATTTCATTAAATTTAGTGTTGTGCTTCGTTGCAAAATCCAAATTTTAATTTAATTTAATTTTAACAATAAAAATACAATACGCTTGTATTTGATACCCATTTGAGTGAAAAATGAATTCTAGAATAGTGGTTGACGGAAGAATGTATAAGCTTGTATTTGATACCCATTTGGGGGAAAAATGAATTCTAGAATAGTGGTTGACGGAAGAATGTGCGGTTGAAAAGTAATGAAAAATTTTATATTTGTGTGTAATATTATTTTATTTAGAGAATGTGTGGTTGAAATGAAGAAAGAGAGAAAAAAAATGAAAATGAGAAGGGTGTCAAACATGACCTAAATTTGAAGTTTCAAAATGATGAAAATAATTTAAAATTCTAAAAAAAATATGTTAAAATTAAATTTAACTATTTTGTAATTGAGTAATTATTTCTAGTGGGATCGAAAAATCAGACTTGTTTGTCCACTTTATTACTTTTGCCCGACTCATGAAATTGCGATACACATTTTTTAATAAACAAGTCGAGATTATTTTAGTGTCGAAAGTTCAACTACCTCAAAATTTAGTAAGCAATTGAAGATATTTTTCAAAGTTTCTCAAAATTTAGCAGACAATCAAATTCGTTTTTCAAAATTTAGCAAGCAATCGAAGACGTGATATTTGTTAATGACGTAATGGGACACCATATAAGCATTCTGTTAGACACGTCACTAATTTCATTAATGATTTGAAACGAATGTTATGTCGTGAGTAATGTCCAATGTTTGAATAAATTTAATGGTCAAAAATCAACACCTTAAATTTTAGTGAACAATCGAAGATATGAATGTAAGTTTAATGACCATTGGGACAATTAACTCAATGTTGGGAAGAAGAAGATAATTTTTATTTTGTTTTTGATTTTTAGTAGGTAAATATGTGATTAGGCTAAATGTCCTTGCCTTATTAAAAATTATCAATTTTCCAAATTTTGAGGTTAACTTAGGGTCCGTTTAATTGCAAAAGTAGAAAATGGGTGGAAAGAAAATAAATTATAGGGAATTGAATTTTTTAGAAATTGTTTTACTGAAAATTGTAATTAATTGTGTTTGATTGATATAATTTTCTACCTAAAAATGTTGAAAGTTTGGTGTTCGTTTGACTTTTTTTTTTATATGAAAATTGTCCATTAAATTGATAATTTTTTTTACTATTGAGTCTAGAATTTGTTCCAATTACCAAAAAAAAATTAAAAAAAATTATCATACCGAATACAATTTATTTGACTTTGTTTTGTATTGAAATTGTCAATTAAAGAGAAATTTTTTTTATCATTATTGATAGAATTTTTTCCAATTGAAAAAATAAAAAATAAAAAAATTGGAAAACACAAAAACCACCAAAACGACAAGAAAACCAATTCCTTGAAAAGTGGGATAGTGGGCGCGTGAGGGGTGGGGGTGGCAAACATGTTCCGGGTAAAATTTTTGCTATCAAATGGTGCAAAAGGTGGAAAATGGAAAAAAAAATTCAACTTCCAAGAAAAATCTTGGTTATCAAACAGGGCCTTATAGATTTCGTTATATTGGACTTTAGGTACGAGTTTTTGAAATATTTTATATGTGGTTGACACAAATGAAAAGTTTGGATCAAGCCTGCAATAAAATAAAATGTTTGGTATCGCGGCAACAATTCTCTCTTTAATAATATGAAAGTTTTGACAAAAAATAAATAAATTAAGAAGTGATCACCATTTTTTTAAAATCTTAATTTATAGATCAAATGAACTAATTTCATTTTCAATCATATATTTCAATATATTCACAAGTACTATTCATTTATTGATTATTCAATTCAAAAATTTAATTGATTATAAATTGTTTCTAAACGGAAGCCAAAAACCAAGTGAATATTTTCACTCTCACATAACCCATTACTTAAAATTTTATCTTTTCCTTTTTTTTTACATTAGTTTCGTCACGATTCTATTGCCGACTCTGTTCTCGTCATTCCCATATTCACCCTTTCAAAATCATTCCATGGTGTTCCTTACACAGTAACATCTCATAACGTGCAGGGTCAAAATTGGAAATAACAAAGTTTAGTGGCTAATGGGACGGTTGATGAAATTCGATGAGTCAGTCGTAAGACGATGGAAAGTTCAGTGGCCGTGGAGACATTTTAACTCACCATCGAATTATAAACTACAACATCGTACAACTAGAAAACCACAGCGTACATCTCAAAGAATTTCAGACTAGGGTTTCTGAGAATAGGTCGTCAATAATGGATGCGGCAAGAGAAGTTGAAGGATTTCTCGATAAAATCAAACCGCCTCGCCTCGAAGACGCGGGCCTTGAAGATTGTGCTTTGCCACCGGAATCCATCAAGGAGGCATTTCTCAAGGCCGCCAACGCCGTCCGATCAATCATCTCAGCACCTGATGACGAAGACGAAGGCGAAGGCCGTTGTGTGGACGATCCAATAGAAGGTTCCTCTGATATACTCGTAGGGATCAAGGAGGGTGTAAAATCCCCGCCTGGAAGCTGCGCCGCCGAGAAGGGCGGCGGTTTGACGGAGGCGGCTGGTGATGATGTGTTGGTTGCCGGCGGTGGTGCAGAGGATAAACCGGGTGATTTGCTGGGATCAAGTGTGCCGGAGGATAGAGAGGCTGCTTGTGTTGATGGATTGCAAGGGCTGGAAATTGGAGGAAAGGGTAGGGGTATTCTGGACAAGAAAATGAAGAACGAGAAAGGAGAGGATGAAGAAAAGAAACCTATTTTAGCCGAAGGTTATGTGTGAATTATTGTGTAATTAATTAGATGGTAATTTTGGTTATGCACTTAAGGAAGTATGTATAATGATATATTTTTTGATCTTTTAATAAAGAATATGTCATTTATGTTGTTTATCTTATTCAGTCGAAACCCTCTCCACCATTCGCATTATTGTGTACAATAATCCAAATAACATTTTCCACAAAAGATAAAAGAATATCCACGATAATACCATCAAATTACTACCATTTATTCTATCTTTTTATTTATGTTAAAAAGTTTTTATATGGTTCAAAACCCAAATACACTGAAACATTTTCTCGACCCAATTATTTTTGGTGCTTTCATTGTTGATTCTTGTTTGGATTTGACTTTTGAGAAATTTTGATCTGTTTGGAGTGAATTAAGAAGGGATTGACAAATCTGATGGCTGAGATTGGATCAAAATGTAAAAAGGGTTCAGTGATTTTGATTGGATTGCTACTTTTAGCTTGTGTGATTGTTTCAGCAAATCAGAGTTTGAAATTGGGAAATGGAATTTCAACAAGCAACTGAATTACTGAAGAATTTGGATCAGCTTAACCCACCAAACTGATCAGTTTCTTGCAGCAAAGCGGGGACACACTTTACCATCATATTTGGCCTGTGAGTTTATTCTTCATTATAAATGTGCCTTTTAGATACTTGAATTACAATGAATTTAGTATGCTCGACAATATTAATGAACATTTTGAGTACTGCATTCTTAAGATCCCTTAACATAAGATTCCTTAACAGTTTTTTTTTTTTTTTGCAATTTGCTATCAATTTACAGGAACTAGAATTTAGATGGAGAATTGTTGTGGGTACAGTGTTGGAGGTGGAATTTTTGTCCCTATGCTCACTTTAATCGTAGGATTTGATTCCAAAATATCAACTGCTATATTGAAAATTTAAGAGTTAACAAAATGTATTAGTATCAGATATGGCTCAGAATCTCTCTTTAAATACACAAATTCCAAATGATCATAGCATCCAAATATACCTTATTGAAACTTTGAAGAAGAATCCAATCCAAGTTCTTAAAGAAAATAGCTATGGAAACTGTGCCTGATCATAGAATCCTCCACAATCATATAACTCAACTTTCACATGTTCAACTTTTCTAGACCAATTTGGTATATTAGGGTAATTGTTTTTTGCAGAGTTCTGAATTGAAACTACCTAGAGGTAGAAGGCATATTTTTTCAGATAGTCATTGATAATTAGTTTTTGCTGGCCATTTGGCTCAGATTTAAACTAAAATGTTCAAGTAGGTCTTGTGTAACATGTAAAACTGGGACACAAATAATATAAATACTTTCGTGGAATTCAAAGTCAAAATTATATGTATGTATTTTCTAATTTAGGGGCAAAGTGTTTGGAAAAGAAACCAAGTTTCATTCGAGGGCAATCACTTTCCCCAAATAACACAACTGAATTCTGACCGTTTGATAATTGGACTGTATTTAAGCCTTTTGTATTTCTGACCAGGTATGATTACGGGTGCAGCAGGTGCTGCTGTATATTACAACCTCAAGCTCCGGCATCGTACGCTTTATCTTCTATAATCGATTATGATCTAGCTCTTCTTTTTCAACCAATGGTAGTGCTTGGGATCAGTCTCGGAGTTGTACGTGATTTTTGCAGACTGGACGGTTACAGTTTTGTTGATTGTTCTTCTCATAGGTGACGTCAATTTACATTTTTCAGTTGCTCTTTCAGGTTACTTATCGGTGTCTTAACTACAGGCACATCAACTGAGGCATTATTGGGTGTTGAATCATGGAAGAAAGAATCCATTATGTAAAGGATAGCCTAATGATGCGAACCCACGTAGCGTTAACTACGAAAACCCACGTTGAATTTGATTTTGAACCCAAGATCGCCAAAGTTAATCAAGTTTGGGATTGATTCGAAAATTATCGAACCAAAACAACCAACGATCCAATATGAACGTCGACCCTTTTGATTTGAATAAATTGGAACCTCACACGGGATTTGAACGCCACAAGATTTACCTTGATAAACAGGTATGATTACGGGTGCAGCAGGTGCTGCTGTATATTACAACCTCAAGCTCCGGCATCGTACGCTTTATCTTCTATAATCGATTATGATCTAGCTCTTCTTTTTCAACCAATGGTAGTGCTTGGGATCAGTCTTGGAGTTGTACGTGATTTTTGCAGACTGGACGGTTACAGTTTTGTTGATTGTTCTTTTCATAGGTGACGTCAATTTACATTTTTCAGTTGCTCTTTCAGGTTACTTATAGGTGTCTTAACTACAGGCACATCAACTGAGGCATTATTGGGTGTTGAATCATGGAAGAAAGAATCCATCTCTAAACATTTTCTCTTGTTTTGATGTGACAGTTCAATTTGAAAATATATTCTCTCTGTGTCTTATTTTGGGTATGCAGGAGGCTTCTAGATGCTTGGCATCGGATTGTGAGTATGCATTGCTTTTCAATCTTGAGATATATTTTGAAAAATTGTTGGTTAGCCAGATTCGAGTAAGAATGTGAATTTAAATCAGATAATGGAGGTGAAAAAGTGCAGTACAAACTTGTACGCGGAGGCCAAACTAATGGAACTGGAGTACTTCTCAATGATGATAAAGCATCAGAGGTAATAAAATTATAATCCCTTAATGACATGCTTGTAGGGAAGATTCGATTGCACTTGGAAGAATATTAAAAAAGGAAGCTAAAATCTTGTTGGTTATACCATTGAGTCTTGTTCTCTACTGTGTACCAAACATACACAAACAGTTACAGATTCACGAATTAGTTTCCAGGCCAAAGCTGATTTCCACAAGTCTTGCAGGTTTGGTTATTGACAATGCCTACTGGAAGGAACTCACCAGTATACTCGTTGCTGTCTGGGCCATAATCCTTTACTTCATATGAACAAGATATTCATATAAATCCTCTCTTACGGCATTTTTTTTTTTCATGATTTTACTCTTTTTTATAATTGAGAAGACTTGCACATTTTTAATATAGGATTATACAACAACTCGTTCAGTGGCATATTGGACGCTGACCTTGATGCAGGTACTACTTTTTCCGAACTGGGAAAGTATCTAAGCCCTAGATCACCACTCCTCAGTTTTGAGTATTAGTAGTCTTAAGAGTAAGAGAAAGATGCACTACAATTCTTGTCCTAAAATTTGTAATCAATCTCTGCTGCCCTGTAAAATAGTTTCCAATAATTAGTTTAAAGACTTCTGATGCAAGTCTTAAGTGCCACAGCCACATTTTGCAATGGTATTTTCTGATAGGCCCTAATTAAATAAACATGTTCTAGAAGGATCAAGAAGATTGGGGCTGCAACAAACTCTGTTAGAGGTGTAGAATGTGGGAGCAGCTTATAAATAGGGAAAGTTGGAGGAGAATAGGCATGCAAAATAGTTAGTGAAGTCATATTGTGGAGAGTTACAGCCCTCTCGAACGGCTGATTGTGTTTCTTTTCTTGATATAATTCAAAATTCAATCAGTACGGAAGTCTAATTTCTGTCCTATTCATTTGTTTCATTAAATCCACAGGTGGTACTTATCAAAGTGGTATCAAAGCGGTCTGGGAGGAATGGAAACAAATTTCAGTAGCCAAATGGAAGAGAGATGGGGTTCGATATTGCAGCGATTTGAGAAGATGATAAGGCAACGGGGTGAACGAAGCCAAGACGATGAACTGGGGATAGATTCATACGGCTGACTAAAAATATCTATATTCTATGGTGAAAATCCAGATATGTGGGTGTCTAAGGCGGAGGAGTGTTTTTCCATGAATCGCCGGTTGTCGGAGAGGGAAATGGTGGCAGCCGCCATTGTTTGCTTTGGCGAAGAGACATCGGCATGGGTCCAGTGGATTGAAAGTCGTCACCTGATTCGAACTTAGGAAGAATTGAAGAAATTGATGTTCGATCAATTTCCTGTGAAGACGATCTCCATTGGTGAAGAATATTTACTGTGTAAGCATGGGGATTTGGAAAAATTGATATTATGATGAAGAAACGGGATGGGCAAGAAAGAGAAATCTGAGGCGGTGGAGCAAAGGGAGGGAAGAAACCTG